GTAAGAAATCGGCTAATTCCACTTTATCCAATTTCCCACTCTTGTCCTAAAATATTATGATCATACAGAGGTAATTTTATAAATCGTGAAAGTTTATTAGCTATATTATTGTTTACAAAAAAATATTTGGAAAAAAAAGAAAGGAATGTTTAGCAATTTAAAAACGCTAAACTTGTTTGCATGAAAGGAATTGAAATTAAAGATTAACTAAATAAGATTGAACAAAAATGATATAAATTATTTGATAAGGAAAAACAAGATAAATTATCACCTGATCAGCCATAACAAATAAATTAAATGTTTCTTTAGGATCCATGTCGTCTTGTCGTCGTGCCATTGCAACAGCTTCGGAATTGTTAATATTACCATCACCGTCACTATCAATTTCCTAAAACAAAAGAAATTATCAGTAATTAATTATCGAATAAAAAATGGAAAAGGAAGAAAATATAATATGTTAGAAAACAAAAAAATTGGTTTTTTTTGCATACTTTTTCGACAACACTTATTTTATTAAATTATCAAAAAAAAAAATATTATTAATTTAATTCTTTCTGATCGAATATTTTCATTTACTTTTTTTTTTTTCAATAAAATTAAACAATGCTAAGGTAGCTTTATATTCTTAACTTTTTGGAAAATTTTTAATAACCATATATTATTTTCAAATGGTAATTTAAAAAGTAACAATTAAAGTAATTAAATAAGTATTAATTGAAATTTTTGGCTCAGAATTATTGGTAATTTTAAATAATCCATTGTTTTTAAATTCTAACTAAAATTTTTCATTCTTTATTGAAGATATTATTTATTTTACTCATGATAAAGGAACTTATAAAAAATGAAAAAATTAGAAAGAAAAATTAAATTTTATCGTCACATTTCTCTTAAATTTCTAAATTAAAAATTTTTTAAATATCACTTAGAAAGTTTATAAGATACAAGTGGAATAAATATTATGAATGATTAATAACCTGCATAATATCTAAAGCATTTTTTACAGCTTTGTTACGTATAACTGATCGAAATCCGGCAAATTCAACCGGATCCAGTTGGTTGTCTTCATTTTCATCTGCCTGAGCAAAAAACGGTCCGAGAGTCTTCTCATCAAAACCGTAATGATCGAATGCGATACGTTTAGCTTCATCCATTGTTACAGTACCACTTCCATCACGATCAACCACCTGTTGATGAATTGGAATGATAAGTATAATAGTTATGTGATAATATTAGATTAATATTAAATCGATTGAATTAATATTAAATTAAATTGAATTAAATTATATTAAATTAATATTAAATCGAAATCGAGAATATTATTTACTCATTTACTATTGTTGTTTTTCAAATCAGTCAAATCTTTCAATTTTCTTTTTTTTTTTTTTCCGCAAAAGATAGTATTTAATGTTTCATGATAAATAAGCACGATAATATGAAATTGATCTTATTCATTTTCAATTTTTGAATTACTTAAAATTTCAAGTACCTTCAATGCTTTTTTTGAGGTATCGATGGCTCGTGAACGAATAATTCGTTCAAAATCAGCGAATTCTGGAGCATTTAATTCACCATCATTGTTATCATCAACAGACATTATCATTTCGTTGACATCACCTGCACCGATACCTTCCTGCTCGAATGCTATCTTCTGGGCTTCTCGCTTATCAATATGTCCATCATCATTTTTATCCGCATTCTAAATAAACAATAATCAAATTCGAGAATTTTCTATTATTATTATTAAATATCGATTTAAAATTTATTCCATAAATTGTAACAAAAAAAAATGTAATTGAAGAACTTTTAATTTTAGCGATAAATTTGATTTTAAAATAAATTTTTTTTAAAGTTTAACAACTTAACTTATTTCCTTCATATTGTTCATATTAATAAAAACAGTTAAATAAATTTAACTGTTTTTATCATATCATAAAATGAAAGTAAAAAAAAATTCCATTCCACTAAAATTTCGAAAAGTTTGAAAAAAAAAAACCTAGAATAGTGGAATATTTTGGGAAAATTAAAAAGGCAACATTATTGTGACGGAAATAAAAACGAATGAAATTAGAAAATTCGCAAAGATATATATCCAAAAAAACCAAAATAATTAGCTCAGCGAAAAGAACCAAGCAAACCAAGAAAGAAACCTTCATAATTAGCCTAGCAAGCCTAATTGACATGGCTCGAATACGTCGTCGTAATTTGCTAAATAATTTAGCGTCCATTTCTTCATTTAAATTTGGTAATACTAAACGCCATATACGTTCCACGTCACGATTTCCGATTCCATATTCTTTTAAAATATATTCTTGCGCTTCTCTCAATGACAACAGACCATTGTGATCTTTGTCAACTGTCTGAAAAAAAAAGTGTTATTTTTAAAAATAAAGTAAATTTAAAGTTATAATTTTATTGAATTAATTTTTAATATCAAATTGGAAAAGCAATAATCAGTGGTTTGTGATTTTTTTTCAATTATAATATAATTAGTAACTCAATTACAATCAATGTTGAAATAAAAATTGATTGATTGGAATAATCTTGCAAAAAAGAAGTATTTTTGTATAGAAAAATTATCTTACAAAAAGGAAAAAAAATTTTTTTTAAAATATTATATTATTTGATATTACTTTATTTAAAATTAAAAGAAAGGGAAAAATTAATTTATAACTTTTTGAATTTATCTTAAAAATTAGAAAAGATGAACTAAAAAAATAACAAATGAAATTACTTGTAAATAACGTTGTGCAGCACTTTCAGCTTTTGCAATTACCAATGGTCGTATATCATTGAATTCTATCGATGTCAAATAACCATCACCATTTTTGTCAACCTTAAAGATGGTTAAAATTAATTAAGAAATAAATTTCAACTATTTTAGGATGTGAAAAAAAAAAAAAAAACGATGAAGAAAGGTATTCGAACTTAAATACTACACGAAGTTAAGGTGTCAAGATATTCTAATACATTTCAGTTAAGGATTAAATATTTTAATACTATATAAAGCTAAGGTTTTTGTAGTAAAAAGATTGTATTAAAATTTCACTTAGATATTTTAAATTAAATTTGATGACAGAAAAATGGAGTTTTTTAAGAATTCATACCTCATGGAAAAGACTCTCAATGACGTTGCCGGAAAGTCCATGATGGACAAATGCGGCATACTGTACTTCAGCAAGACTTAACGCCCCATCGCCATCCAAATCAACACTTTTATCGACCGGTGGTAATTGCGGAATATCTGCGACACCAGAAGGATCACCTTGAGAAGTATCAGCAATCGGAAGATCTACCTGTGGTGATTGCGTTGAGCCGAATTGATTTGAAATTGATTCTATAAATCATAATTTTATTTGAGGATATATTGTAATAATATTATAATTTAAAATAAGCAAAAAATTTCAATAAAATTCAAGGCATATATTAAAAATTAACTTTAATTTAGTATTTTAAATTGATATTTAAAGATGAGTTGACATGAAACATGAA